AGTGAAACTGCCAAAACAGGAACAACATAAATCCAATAAATAACTTGCTTTGTTACACACACATTAATATAAACGCTCATTTTTAAGCATACATATAGGCATTGCGTCGAAGACACAATGTATCCATCCAAACATCCGCTCTGCCGTTAAACAAACTGACTAAATGACGTAAATGTAAAACATTTCCCCGGAAGTCCAGCAGGTGGCAGCAATGTACCATGCAAAATAAACACTCACAGGTTACATGACAATACATAACAAAAATAATTCTAAATTGTAGAAGGAAAATCAATAATAATAAAAAAAACATGAGTACATTTTGAAAACACTGATAACATAATGTACAGAAAGCTCTTTAGGAAATTAACGTCTTTCAGTCATTTTTTAAATTGTTGAATTTATGCTTAACTATGGCAAGTTTAGTTGTATGAGCTCATTTTTTTCCATTTGACTTATTAATACAAATATTTTAGTAAATGGTAAATGGTGAAGATTGGTGTTTGTGCCTTAAAAATTCATGAATCTTCCATGTAAAATAGACAGTTTAAACACTGCATAAACAATGAAGGCAATCAGACATGTTCAGTGGGAGGGTGAAGGAGTTTGAGCCCCTGCCCCTTTTATCCTTGATGCCATAGTGCCCTTTTTGAGTTTTTTTTTCTTTTTAATCTGTATGTCAGAAGGCCTGTTTGTGTCCCTCAGCAATAATATTTAGCTAAATATAATAATTTAGCAAAATAAAATAGTATGGCTGCTCTTGATCTAATGATGACTCAGTTTATGCCTCTATGTTGATCAGTCATCAGGTCCATGATGAGGAGGAGGGGTCGGATCTGTGCCTCAAACTATCAAATTATGGGCAAGAATATTTTGTTCAAACACTGGTTTGTAAATAAAAAAGTAGGTCTGATGTTGACGTTAGAAAAATTGTTTCTATTTATTTTTTCATAATTGTCCTCGCAATAGCGGAAAAAAACCTGCCTCGTCCCTAAACACAGAAATGCTTCATCTGCAGAGAAACTCTGTTTTTAACGTAATCATTCTGCTAAAAGCCCGGTTTGCTACAGGCAGAATGAGTCGGTCCCACCGACAGATAGAAAGAATGTCTGTTTTTATATCAGATATCCTGATATAAAACACGAATATCACCGCGAGTCGCAACGCAGCTCAAAGCCCCCGTACCACCTGGTACCACCTGATATCACCTGATATCACCTGGTACCACCTACTGACTGTTGGCTCTCCTTAACATTACTACCAGGGATCTGGGCTGGAGGTGAACGGCTGTAAATAGAAGTTTAACCTCAAGTGTTAAAGAAAGATTCGGGGCAGAGCATGTAGAGGTCATGAAATAAACATCAGCGAAAATACAGTAGTAATAATTCGAACCGCAGCATAAAGCCAAACATGCCACAATAAAATTAATCAAAATGTCCCCAAAGTATCGGCGGGCTGACAGAGGGCCACCGGGGGATTCAGGTAGATTCCAGAGATGCACATCGCAACAGCTGTTCATGCAGGCTCAGCCCAGGGTAATATGGGGCCTTACATAGAACCCCCAAAGCCCCCAAACCCATCCTACTAAGGACCTCAGCATCACTATCATGTTTAAATAAGGTGAAGTCTGTGAGAGGGAGATCAGGTTTATTGGCCGAGTTTAAAATCAATCACTGATTATTGGTTATTGGTTATTTGCTGTGATGTATTTGTAAACAAACCCAATTCAAACACAAAGATTATTAGCCATGGTAACACAACAATCAAACTATCAAGATGGTTCTTCAAACTTTTACAAAGTAAACTTCCTAATTAAATCCTAAAGGTACTATTAATTTTTCTCAGCTGAATCCATTAAAGAAAATGTAATAACATTGTCATTCTCTATAAATAAATGCTACAAGTTTAGATCTATGGTCTGTGCTACATTAAAAACCATTTCTAGAGAACCCTGAGTGTCTGGAGGTCCCTGAATGGCTCTTACCAGCAGCTACTGAGTTTTCTTTGCCTTGATATCTCAGATTTATATTTCAAGGTCTCAGAGTATATAGAGTTAACCCCTTTGAGCTTTTTGTTTTTACTCTATAAATCAGTCTGGAGCCAAGTTGTTAAACAGAGGTTAAATGGATATTATTAGATATTATTAAGGCTTAATTAGTAAAATGGCAGCAAATTTGCTAATTTCATAACTTCATAATCAGCGACCTTCTCTCCTCTGGTATGTTTAACATACCAGAGGATTAACTCAGTCCTCCAGCTTTGTCAGCAGCAGAAACAGAACAAAATACCTGTTGGGGAAAATATAGACTACATTTGCTTTCCATTGTCCCCAATTATGGAATTTCTATAGTATGAACCAAATTCTTGATTAATGTGGGTTGTTATGTGTTGTTGTACGATGTTTTCGTTCAATGTGCTCCTTTTTTCAGTCTTTTTCTGAAAAACTGTGCCCAATAGCTCCATTAATGGAAGAGCACATGCATCAAGCTGCATAGAGAAATTAAGCAAAGTAGGACTAGGTCATCAACCCCCTTTTTAAGCTTTATTTATATCTTACTTTTCCAAAATAGATCAAAGAGTAAGCTGTCCCTCCTCTCAGTCACATTAGTACATGCATTACTCTGAAATCTGAGTTATATTTATTTTAGGAATTAGCTGCACAATGTATGAATTTCCATCTCACTACATTCAACTCTTCACTCAATTTGCTTCAATATTTAGTTTTAAGTTCCAAGAGAAACTAAATCATAGTGTGATGACAGTCTGATATCCACAAGCACTTAACAGTAGCAAGCTGAATATTACATTACTGAAACCGAGTGTATATTTATAATGCATTTTAATACAGCCAATATCAAAACTATTTTTACAATAAAAGTAGTCTAATTCTGACAGCAAATAGCATATAAAGCATGTTTTGTGCTTTAAAGCACCACTATCAAAACTGCTGAACATAAAGGACAGACCGCAAAACACAATGCCTGGAAAAAATATCTATGAGCACCCTTGTATATTTCTCTTGTTTATTACATTTTTAATCACATTCGAAGAAAAAGAAAACCCAGGCAAAGCTTCCAGATGAATATTTCATTTATTAAAAGGAGAAGAAAGCGATTCTAAACAACCTGGCTCTGTGTGGAAAGGACTAACCCCTTATAACCTGGATGCTGGGCACAACAGCTGTCAGAGTGTTTGTAATGACTGTCTTCAACATCGCTGTGGACAAACATTAACCCATTCTTCTTTGCAGAATTGTCTTAATTCTCCAACGGTCACACTCCGACTGTCAATTTCCAAAACCACACAAATAAAAATCCTCATAAAACCACACACAGGGTCAGTACGACCCTGCTGCAATGTGCACAAAGTAAAAAATCTTGGGGGGTCTAAATGACCCCGTCTCTCAAGAGCGTGGGAAGGCTAAGCTATATTGAAGAGTTTCAATCATTCATTTTGTTTATTTCTGCCATTCTAAGGTGGGCTTGCTTGTATGCTTTGCATCTCTATCCTGTTTAAGATAAGGAAGTGATAGCATGACATTATAATTCAGGAGAGCAGGATTCACAATTTTATCAAGTGTTTCAGGTTCAGACAAACAAGACCATCACACAGCCACCACTATGCTGTGACTTCCTATATCAGTCATTGTTTCACTGATGAATCTTGGTAGGCCACCTATTGGAAAACTTCATTTCTTGTTCCTTGATTTTTTCCCCTTTTTGTAGCTTGCAACTACTAATTTTTAGTCTGTTTTATTGCTGCAAACATTGTTTATCTGCCTTAAAGTGCCTAAACCATAAAAAAAAAAAAAAAAAAAAAAAACTGGCTGTTGAATCCATATGTTTTCAAAAGTTGTTTTTGGCATTACTTCGGTCACACTCTTGTGCAGGTCATTTTTTGGATGTTTCTACTGGAATTTTGATGATCTATCTTTGGTTAGAAGCAGTTTGAAATTGTTAGGCCTCACTAAAATGGGACTAATTATCATCTCTGGGCTTCTCCAAAATGCTATCATTACTTCCAGCCAAAAGTAGCAATAGCTAATGGTAGTTTTCACTGACATCTTAAAAGAGAGATATTAGTGAAAACAGTAAAAAAGAGAAGAACCCCCAGCTCCAAATCTGACTATGGGTATGAATAATTTTGGACTTAGGTATACAGTATGTATCCAACAAATAAAAACATGAAAGTTATTCTGTTTTCTGAAATTGTATTTTTCTGTGTGGCCTGAAAAATATTCAGCTTTACCAGACAAACAAAAAAAAAAAACAGTTAATATGATTGCAGACTGACTCTCTGGCTGGCACAGAAGTTGACATAGCAACCAGTACACCCTGGCATGCTTCATTAGAAATGTTGGTGTTGTTGGAAAGCATAACGTGTGACTGAGGCTAAAAATACTTGTCCTCCATCACAGAAAACCACCAGAACCATGTTTCTTGAATTCTTTTAAAGGGATTTAGCCAGGCGAGTGTCAGCATGTGCTCATACAAGAAGCAAACTTTAAAAAAACTGAAAACAATAGAAATAAAAGGTCAAATCCCAGTTACTGAAGAGATATGCATTTGCAAACAAAGCATGCTTGCTGACTTTGTCGTATATTGTCAGTCTGTTTTCATTTAGTTTTTAGGACAAAAATGAAAAAGGTACATTTTACTAAAATTGTAGATTTAAGCTAACACTGAAGTTCACACATGATTCTAAAAAGACATCAGTCAATGGGATGGTAGGATTTCAGAGCTCTATCTCAATGTAGGTGTGCGTTTTAGGTTTCATCAATGTTCTGTGTTTTGATATGTTAAAAAAAACACACTCTACCGACTGATTAAATATTCTCCTCACAGCACCTTTCTACAAAATTTGCACAGACACGCCCATCCACCCACATACACGCGCACACAGCAACTGAAGAAGAGCTATGAGAAGTGCTTTTCTGCTGAGTTTGACATGTAAGAAAGAAGAGAATTAGACCAGCTGCTCTGTGTCTATGTGTGTTTACTTACCAGCTGTGATGGTATCCTTCTCTTTGGCATTGAGTTCATCCACCTCAGCTCTCCTGCGCAGCTCAAACCTGCGAGCATGTCCTTCTCGGGGCTTCCACAGTTCCTGGAGCAACAGTGGCTTCTCGTTGTCCCCAAGCGCTCGCAGGCACTCAGTCCTCCATGCCCCGCCCCCCTCAAGACGTCCGATCACATCACACAGCACATAGACGCGGGCTGCATCCTTGTTGAGCGAGTACCGCTCCAGCGCTTCCTTCACAAGTTCCTGAGCACTAGAGCGGGGCGTGGCCAGGACACTCTTATAGTTGGCACCGGCACAGATCTCATCTCCAAAGATCTTCAGCACCCCTGGGGCCGAGCTCTGAGTGGAGAGTTCGGCGGGGTCATCTACTGGCTGCTCTGGAGGTTCAGTCGTGGATCGCCGATCCCCTCGGGTGTTTGTCCCCGTCTCTGCTGGGACACGGTCTCTGTAGCTCAGAGTGCGATACAGGACCTAAAGAAGCATGTATTCAGTGAAGAACACATCATGAACTTGAAAGAACAAAATCACAAAACAAATGTTGCAGTAAAAAGAAAAGTTTGTTTCATAAAATATTCAATAGGAAAAATCAACAAATACCCATATTTTTGCACACTAATTAATAATTGTGAGTTTACTGCAAATTTTCAGCAAACATTTTCAAAACCATCGAGTTGTACATCAAATCCTGGAGGGACTGCTTTTAAATTTCCATTTGTCATAGACATTTTAGTGGCAATACATGACTATGATTCTGTCAGACCCCCTAATTTCTGTGTTTTAGTGGATTTTTTAACCACTGCTGTCTGTGTGAAGAGGAGAGCTGAGTTTAGCCATGTTAACCTTTCCAGGTCAGGACATTCACAGCAAAGGCAGCAAACAAAATACCACAGAAACTACTTTGTAGACTTTTCTGCTTGCCAATATCTGTGAATGTCGTAAGATTTCGTATTTTGTTGTTGACTATATTTGTTAAATTCTACAATTCATCTAGGTAAATCTATGGTGGAAATTATAGAATCCTTTTTTTTTTTTTTTTTTTTCCTCAAAACAACAGAATTATCTTTATTTACACCACTGAGAAATTAGGTTTTCTCAATGGAATTTGGTGACACTCTAGTTTGGGGTTTGTCAGTATTATCAGTAGTTACCTCAGGTATCACAGCATGACTTACCCTGATGACAAAATTTTTTATGACAATGATAAACAATATTTACCCATTTGTAGCATAGATGAACTCAAAATGCTGTGCAACTAGTTTTCCTAACACAACTTTCACAGATTGTGCAGGAAACTGGTATTTGAATTCCTTTAGACACAATGAATTATCATTAAGTGACAACATACAAACCCTCTCAGGTAGCTACAAAGTTATTAGACGGATAATTGTGTTTTTGCTGAATATTGTCTAATGAAATAAAATTAATCTGTTGTAAATAATTTAATCCTGACATTTATCAAAGCTTTAGAGATCTTTTTAGTCTTTGACCAATGGCAAACTAATTAAACCTAAACAATCATTTTGTATGATAGTAGAAGTGTCTGTACCTTATTCATTTATTTCATCACAGTTATTTAGATTTCTAGAAAGAAATCAGATTATATGGTACAAGCGATGTTTACATACCTGAGTGAAGGTTCTGCTCTGGCGCTTCAGGCGGCTCTTGGACGGCAGGGACATGCTGGCCCCAGAGGAAGAACCGTAGAACATGTTGTTGGCCTCACAAACTCCAAATCTGACAGACAAAAGAGGAGCTGACGGATACAGGGGGTCATCGCACACTACTTGTGAAGATATTCATTGTATAGTAAGCCTTGAACTGTACCTGATGGTAATGTGACAAACAACAAAAAAGTATTTGTAAGATGAGAAATGTACCTTGACGTTAAATATTATCACTTCTTTTGCAGTAGGCAGAAGGTCAGTGCTGGCTTAGATGATTTGCATTTCATTTCACTGTCTCCTTTCATTCTGAAAAAGAATTTCAAGTATATGGGATAGTTACATCAAAGTATCCCAGTAGTAATTCTAAACATTAAGGTGTTCTTCAGGTCACTTCTAAGTCACATAAGTACCAATTGAATTCTGCTAGTTTAAATAGCAAGCTGGAGAATTCTGACACTTATGCACTGGGGATGGCTGATTTTATCAAGGTTAAGTTTATAACTCAAAAGTGAACAAAATTGAGTAAATATTAATATTGAAGCTATGGAAGTTTTGGGATTTGACACAAAAACTATAAAAACATCAGCAGAGAAAGGAACTTTATGTTCAACTCCTCTCCAGATCATAGAGATGTCACTGTGGCTGTGAAACGTGATGGCCAGAGTGGGGTCAAGGAGCAACAGACAGAGCAGGGGGCCGAATCCGGCTCATGATTAGTATTTATGGGGCCCACTAGACCAGTGGTTCGCAACCCTGAGAGCAGAAGCCTGATTTGGGTTTATTTTTGCTGTCACACATTTAATTTAAATTAATGAGTGACTAGCAGGCTTGTACTGCACTTGATATCATATGGAGTAAGTCATACAATCATTGGAATCAGGTGTTCATTTAAAACTTGATGAACAGTGGATTTTTAATCCCTCTGCAATAAAATACCTCTACTTTCTTCTGGTTTTCAGATAAGTACTATTATCATAGCATTATCCTGATAGAAAAGCATTATCAATTTTAAAATTATTCATGTGGTCTATGTTACTATTATTTTGTGTTTCTGAAGACCTCTGTTCTAGTTGACAGAAAGGCCTTTATTAGACCACTGCAGTGTTGAGGGGACTAAAGAGGCAAAGGTATTGTAATCAAGTCCATATTAGCTTACTTTTAACTTAACATAATGTTTACAACATAAATTAAAGTTTTAGCATATATTTTAATCACACAATATTCAAAACATGTACATCATAAAAATACCTTTTGTCTGTCAAGGGGGCTGCTCTATTTTTTTTAAGTCAGGACTTAAATTCAATTGAGATGTGTCTAAAATAAAAAAAATTCTGACAAGAAGAGCAAGAGAAAAATAATCCAGAGCAATGTTAAAGAAATTACGTTGTGTAATTAATAATAACATAATGCCAGTTCTTATCATTAAGGTTGATAGAACAATTATCATGCTCAGGTGGCAATAGTGTTTTCTACATTTAAACGTTTTAGATGTCCTCCTGATTTAACACACCTGAAATCAAATCACTGATATATTTCAAGAACTTTGCAGAACTTTATGCCATGCTTAGTGAGGAGGTAATTCAGGTGTGTTGGAGAATGGACAAAAATTATTCAGGACACCTTTTTTTTTGCATTTGTTTATATATCAAGTTGCCATCTGACCTATTTTCACCAAAAATGTTGCAACTCCTGCAAACATTGACTGTATGAAATTCTCCCACCGCCCCCCAATATTAGTAGGTCAGTAAATAGATGATGTTGAAGTAGATTTAAGAAGTGCTGGGATAACGTGACTATTTTAAATGCCGCCTAATCCACAGTAATCTGGCTACTTGGCTGCAGTTAAATCAATCCCAGGAAACCCCTCCTTCGTCTACTCATAGTAAGAAAAACTAGTGAGTAGGCTCTATGTTTTACAATGACATATTTGACATCCACTTGGTAACAATGTCTCACAGGATATTGACCTGCTGCCTGCCCTTGTATTCACCACCAGAAGGTCAGGATTTAACCGTTGCACACCCCACCACTATCAGGGAGAGTTAAAACTGTGGAGCTCAACTTGTGTCTGCCCCGTATTCAGTGTTAGTCCGTCTGTTTATCACTTTGTACTCGCTGGTCGTCAGTAGCAACCGCCTTAGCAACAAAAGGCAGGAGAAAATTCTCAGAAATTAATCCGCTGAAGAGTCAGCAGGCGCGGCCTCTGACCGTCAGCAGGTGTGCTTAATGACTGTATTCCGGCTCATTTTATACAATTATTATATAATTAGTATAAATACCACCCCACAAATAGAAACATAAATGTTTACCTTTTTAAATTAATTCGGTTAGCTGGTGGAAAAGTAGAGTGTTCAGCAGCGCACTCCCCTAGGAGCTCTCTGTGTGTCTGTTGCCTCAAAGTACTCACGTTGTCTGCAGTGCTCCATGGTGCTGCCGGGGAATCCTTGGCTTCTCTCGCAATCCCTCTCCACCGCCCCCCAGAAAGACAGAAAATCCCCAGAAAAATGGATGGGGGATATTACAGATGCTGCTGCTCCGTTCCCACCGTCTCCTCTCTGTCTCGAGTTTCCTTCCACATTCCCGAGACGGCCCCGCTAAGTTGGATAACAGACAGACGCGGTGGATGCCCAGCAATGCCCACAGCCCTATGGTAACCGCATTCCAACGTCCACAACGCCTCGCTACCGAAATAAGACGGGAACAACCGAGCTCTGCTCGTCACCAAAATACACCTGCTTCGGTTAATGACGAAAAGGGCTCCCTCTGGCGGACACTTTACTACCTCCGTCTTCAATGCAACAAGCAGGTTGAAAACCCCTCAGCAGGGTAGAGATTAATGACAATTATTATTGAGTAGGTTTACTGGAGAGATTGTTTAGTATTTGGAAAAAACAGATAATGTTAAAAGTAATCTAAGTCATAGCCCACCAATTTAAAGTGATCTTAAACTTTGCCTAAATCATCTATTTCTGTCTAGAGCCGTTTTTGGTGACAGAGAGAGTAAGTGCTTTACTCAAGCTAGTCATTAATTATCGGAGACACAAATATAATATATTTTTTAAATTTATTTTAATTTTATGATCGACAGATTTCGGTGGCATTGCTGTTGCTCTATAGGTGACTAATGGCCCTTTGATGCACATGTCTCAAATTTTATTGATTTATGAATTTTAAAAACTTCTTTTACTTTCAATTTAATCATGATACAATTTTAGACTACAGAAGTTTTAGTCTGAAATGACTAAAACTCCAGGTTTTAATCCCAGACAGAGACTTATTGAAATCTAAATACAATCCATCGGTGTGTGATTTCATGTCAATATAAATTCAGCTGACCTGTGAAGGCATCTAAGATGTTGGTGAAAATTACTAACCAAACTGATTTGTGGAGATCAAAACACACATCAAGATAAAATTTGTGAAACAGTTCAAAGCTGTTTTGAATTGTAAGAAAATATCCCACTTTGGAATATGTTGCAGACAACTGAAAAAGGAAAGGATATGGCACATCTATAAACCTCCCAAGTCATGACTGTCCAAAACCCAGGATCTTTAAGGGTGAAGATCAACACTAAAGCATTGAAAATGTATGTTTACGTATGCTCTTCAGCCAATCTGCCTGAGCTATTTGACAAAGAAGAACAAGCAAATCTTTTCAGTCTGTAAATGTGCAAAGTTGGTAAAAGGCATACCCTGTCTCCAATACAGCACAATAAATACAGCACAAGTTCAAAAAGTACACACAAAGACAGAGACAACGGTTTCACATCACAGTACAAAAATGTTTTAAACCATTTAAAGGAAGAGTTCAACATGAAAAAGCATTTTTATTATGACAGAGATAGAAAAGATAAAAGCATTGTTAGCATCAAATCGGCTTATCACAGCACAGAAAAGCACCAGATACAATCACCAAACTGAAAACTATAGAACCATGAATGTGGGAAAATACTTTTGCTTTCCTGGAACAGGAAGAGATCAACAGTAGGTCTAAAAACACTAAACAGCTTCATAATCACAAAAAGCCTATAAATAATACTAATAGATATGCAGTTTGTAAAGATTTTGGAATTTATACAAATTCATATGTGCACTACATCTCTAAAAGAGACAAATACTGTAAGCAGGATAAAGACAGAAAAGTAAAATAATTACTTGCTTATGAAAGTATTGTTAATACTGGATATGATAAAGTACAATACAACACTCAGTTGTTTGATGTTCCTTGAAGGCGTCAATAAACACAGAATACAAATACAAGCTGTTCGTTATTCATGAATATGGTTAAAATTAGCATCAGTTGAATATAATTGAGTCATTTAGACATGCTCAAATCTGCAATAAACATTAATCTCCCACTCATCTGTGGTGACACATTTATAATCATGAAGATTTTTTGTTAATTTTAGATCGGTTCATCTTTCTAAAATATCTACAGCTCAAGAAAACATTTGTTTGAGATTTACAGCTAGAAGTTGCTCAATCTTCTTTCAAATGATTCAATTCACATTATCTTCTTATAAATTGTATTTTTTTCATCAAAAAGGGAGGTATTTGAAGACAGAGATGTCCTTTAATTAAACTTGTAGGGAAAGATTTGTTTAGTATTTGGCTTTGCTTCATGCATTACTGTTGTCAGAATGATGTACTTTGCTATAAACAGATTTCACATCATATGGTACACATTTTGAGATTCTTTATGATCATTTGTGAAAACAATGGTAATATTCATACTTTAAAATTAAAAAATAATGTGACTAATGGATGTCAGCAGGGTTGATCACAGTGTATCTTTGTACAAACTAAAACATTTTCAAGATCCATATTTTGATTCACAGAGTCTTCCATATATATTGGTATCCCTGGTAAAGATAAGTTAATAAGATTAAAAAATAAGTAAGCAGTAGCATAACATCAAACTGAAAAGTCATGTGGAGATTTTTTACCTATTCACCATGTATGGTTCTAATAACCCAATACACACTTTTCTACTTTCTGTCTTAGTAAAATAGAAAAAACATAATGCCATGGAAAACAAATGTTCAGGCAACATGATGCAATGCATTTGACACTGAAGTGCGCACAATGAGATTACCAGGCTGCCACAGATACATGAGGACGTGTAGCTTCACATGAGCACCACAGCACCTAAACACTATGCAGCCTGTATCTGAGGGGTGCACTGATTGCATTTTTCTGGTCAATTATGATTACCAATATTTTAAAAAGCCTGATTTGCCAAATCCAACTTTGTTCAACACCAATTTATTATTGAGAGAAAAAAATCTGTCAGAAAAGCCATTAAATACAGCAAGGCTATGCTGGCAAGAAGGAGTGAATATTGTTAACAGCACACATGCAGATCTGAACTGTTTTGGTCAGACCTGTCAGTCCTTCCTCTCTTACAGCAGAGAAAAAGGTGACAGTAGATTATTTTCACTTTTGCCAAGGTAGATAAGATTAATGGATAAGATCAGTTTTTCATTTAGGTTTCAGTCGATTGCTGATTTCCCAAAAATAAGGAAATTGAGGACAATTTCCTTAATTGAGGACAATTTCCTTAATTTTGTACATGCTACTTGAAACACAATAGAATTGACATCTTCACATACTTTAATTTGGCCAATAATTATTTGACTACTCATAGATTATTGAAAATTAAATGCTGTCTCATTTAGCTGATCTCTATATATGAGAAATAGCAATAGTATATGGCATCACGATGCAGCAGAACCAACTGCATTCGCCACCATCAATCATTCCTAATGCACATGCTCTACTTATAACAACCCAGGACTTGATATTTCATAAAAAGCTTCTTCATTTTTTCACATTAGGAAAAAATGAAGGAAAATGAAGGAAAAGGAAAAATGAAGGAAAAAAAAACATCATAAGGAACAATCTGACAGGAGTTTAAATTAAACATAGATCTTCATCAAGGATTGTAATTCAGGATATTAACTTTATTCGTTTTTATTACTGCCCTGACTGTAGATATGAGCAAGAATCACATAATTTAGCAGAATGATATGTTACCCTGCTTTTTACATTTTCCTCCAAAGAGAAATTTGTGTCAGTTATACAACAGAGAAAAGAAAGTCATGGACATATACTTCAAATTTCAACAATCTTTGCTTAATAAAGTCAGTATACATTCTAACCTTGCTTACAGCAAGGATGCTGAATACGTTTGATCACATACAAATTTAGATTTTTCTGAATATAATGATGTGAGATTATGCTACTAAGAGGAAACATTAATTTATTTTAAGGCTTTTTACACGTTTTTACCAGAGATAACATTGTATTGAAAATTGATTTTACTGTTTGATACCAAGCTTCCTGACTGCTTTATATTAATTACACCTCAGTTATTGTCTGAATAGTGAACATCATGTAAAACTTGTAGAAAACTTTTGGGAGTAAGCAAGTGGAGCTGTGGTGGCAACCAGACAGAATGCAAACAACTGACGCAGATTGATGGTCCTTTAAATTTTCTGTAAAATCCTGAGTGATAAACAACTGTTGAAACATGATCCACATCAGTTGCTTTTTTTAAAATACCTTTAAATGTTAGATTTCTTGAACTTTTAAGTCCTCCTGCCACATTCATCAAAGTGTATAAGCTTGTTTGGCAAAGAGAGTTAAAGACTCTTAGCAAATATAGATACTTATGTGTTCAAGCTATTTTTTGTAAACACTGACAACCATCGGCTTTGGATTAATGGGTGTAAGATAGTAAAAGATACAAACAACTGCACCCGGTAAGTAATACACACACACAAACGCGCGCACGCGCGCACACACACCCACACGCACTCCTGAGATGCCGTAATATTGGGGCAGGTTGTTCAAGAGTACTATAGCTTCAGTTTCCTTTCAAATAAGACGTATTGTTTAATCATGGTAGCGTGTGCTAACACTTACGGCAGTAATTCAGCCTTCTGGCAGTGCTGATTCATTGTGGTTTCAGACAAAATATGTCACTAGTTTTCACGTATTTTCAACACTACAATCACATCACAGGAAAATATAATCTCTGTATAAATGATATTGATGACATTTGTCTTTGCAAAATCTAACCAACAACAAAAAACTATTAGTATTCAGTAAACAAACTACATAATCAGGTACCAAATAATTGTGGATGTATACAGGTCTGTAAGGCTGCAACTACAAATGTATGCAATATATACATTAATAAATTTGTCTATTCATGCTTATTTTGATAATTACAGTAAGTCACTAAAAAAAGGAACAACGACTGATAAAAATAATAGTATTATGTGATATACAAATCTAGATTGGAAGTAAGAACAACTCATGTTTATCAGGTTTAAATTATGTTTACAATAATTGCTAAATCTACAATGATGGTCAAAGCAGATAATTGTAAACATTGTCTTCCTCTTGACATTAAGACAATGTCGTAAATTTAGCCTCTGAATCTGGATGCGCACCACAGAGAGAAAAAACTCCAATACTAGTAACTAACCCCTGATCACTGGAAAAAAATCAAATTACTGGAAAATACAGTGATATATAACATTAAAATGAACCAAAGTGGGGATTTTAGCTGTGTCCAAGTTTACAAAGCTGCCTCAGATTGATCACAACAAGGTGTCTGCTATTGTTTTTGTTTCTTTGTTTTTTTTGGGGGGGGGTTATGAAATACCGCATTTGTTGTTGTATAATCTAAAGCAGGTTAGTGGTATCTGACATCTTTTATCATTATGCCAGGCTGTGACATTGTTGTAAGATTTACCCAACTTTTAATTATCATTGTCTCAACATTGTATCCTTGAGGATAATTCTCAAATGCAGCAATTGTTGAGAAAAGCACAAAACTTTCCAAGCAGCTGGGAACAATCTGTGTTTTTACCCAAGGCTTCATCTCTGATTTTGTTGCAGCGTGGTCGGCAAAATTGGGCTGAGCTGTGTCATCTCCAACATCATTTGAACTTTACTGGAATGTTTTAATCCTACTTTTAATGTTAAGGTTATGATGAGCCTACTGTGCTATTATCTTTTAGCAATGAGTCTTTTTTCACTGTTTTCTTAACCAATAAACAGCTTGAAAGAATATAAGTAATTGGGTTAATTTCTGAGAAAACAGCGTATTGTCAGGTGTAATATTCTGCAATCTAAATTTCTTGCCTCTGAAATTTAGATTGCATAAATACCTTCGAGGATTTATGCTCAAAAGTATAAATCTGTCTCTGTGAGCAAGTCAGATTGAGATTCTGAAGCATACTTTTCCAACTTGATTTTCCAGTAATATGTGCAGTTTGGAGGTGTATCCACTTCTCTCTAGCTGGGAACTTTAGAGAGTCAAGCAAACGCAATTTTAATGTGCAAAGAACACTTGTTTGTATTTTCTAGTTGCCTGATAGGACTGCTTTTGTTGCAGCAGTCAGATGAAACAAGATGGCACCAGAGTGGGAGGCTTGCTGTCTGTCACTGCCTGTGATTTGCTCATTTGTGCTGCTTGTGCACCCACAGTCAAAGCAAGACTTTTGAAGGTGATTTCTTAATAATATATGACCGTTGACTTTGTGAGTTTATCAGAAAGGCCCAAATGTACTGGTAGTTTTCCAATCAAGTTCACCCTCATTTGAAGCAAGCCTTGAACTTGGACACAGCTCTACCAAGCAGCTTAATCACAGGAGTCCATCCCTCTGAAGTCATCACTGATGTCATCTGGAGGTCTGGACTTGCCTGGGAGTCTGGGCGTAGAGGTACTTCCAGATGGCATAGTAATGTATGGCTGCTCCCACAGCTACAAAAAGATGCCAGATGGCATGAGCGAATGGGACGATGCCATCACTTTTGAAGAAGACTATACCAAAACAGTAGCAGGCTCCACCAACCAGCAGCTCACACAACCCGGACTGCTCCGGCTGGCGGGAAGCATGAGGGATTAAGGTGTTGATACTGGAAATATAGAGCAGTGCAATACATGCATTACACGAGTGACCTCACCATTGAGAAAATCACCAGAGCAGGAAAAACTCCCATCACTGTATAGCAGATCAACTCCATGAGTTTATACCTGAAAGAGAAAACAAATATAAAAACAGATTTTTATTCTTAGATGTCTAGCAGTTAACAAAGCAACTTCCAGAAGTTGATGCAAGCTTATTGAATGATTATGTGAAGTTTGAAACAAAAAAGCAGTAGTTTTGTGATAGCTTAAGCATTTGGTTATCAAAAATTGTGTCAGGATTCCCTGTGGGTTAGGGTTAATTAATCAATCAACCACATCATCCAGAACATGGTCATCTAAATTATGCACATAGAAGCCAACTGATCTTCTTCTTAAAGATCTTCATCTTTCTAACATCTACTCTTCAGCCCTGACTTGCTTGTCATCTGAAGTGTTTTGTTGTTGTTGTAATTCACACCTCTGGCCTGCCTGTTTTGGACTTGTAACCAAAACAGGTAGGCCCAATAGCTCACATGTTCCAGTTGTCCCATAAGTGACTTAAATTTGAAATGTCTACATTTATATAAAGAAAGAACTGATGCAGCATTAATTATTATTACGAGATGTTTTACCACATTTAAAACATGACTGGTCAGTTGTGTGGACAGAAAGCCAGTCTGAGTTAAGTAAAGCTGACAGTGTGGGAACAGACCTCTCATGATAGAAGAAGACATAGGTGGTTCCAAAAGATGCCATGACCCAAACCAGCCAGCGCATGTGACATGCCCAGGGACCCAGCTCCCGAAGGTTCAGCCTATAGAAGAGAAGCAGCAACAGCTACGAACTGGGTTCCTATGTAATCATATTTACATTGTCTCACACACAGAGAGCAAGCCAGTATGTTTACCATGGAGCATAAGAGGCTGCGATGAAGAAGTAGATCACCATCCTGTCACACATGTGGAAACACTGCTCCACAGAACTGAAAAACAGAATATTTTTTGTATTTATATTTTTATGCAATCTCACTTTAATATGTGTCTTGTAAAAGAATTCAACATTGTCCTAGATAGTGTTGGGAGTATAAGTTTAGTTATATTAATTTTAGAAACAGTTAACCTTTGTGCATATGAAATATTAGATATAGCATGAATATTTTGAGTAGATTTTAAGTTAGGTAGATTTGGATAAAGATTCAAACTAAAACAACTGCTGACTTTCTGAACGTACATACATTACTAACAGGGCCTTCAGAAAGGGGGAGTGTTGTACTAGTGGATAGGTCAGAGTTCGAGGGGGTCTCCCTGTCACAAGATGAGTAAAATTATTTGGTGTTTGTTTAAGAATTCAGTAAAACACTAAAACCTTTAGAAAACAATTCATCTAGAAGTATAATCAAATGTATTAATATATTTCTTTTAAGTATTAACAGCATGTTCTGAACTAGTTAGTGTCTAACCATACTAATTTGCATGCGTCTTAGATTACTAAAATAGAACAGGATTAGGAAACTAAAGTTTTAGAAGTAAAATATTACAGGTATTCTAAGAGAGTTTTTCTAAAAGAAAATAATCCTGCAATTTTTAGATCCAAACTCACAGTTATCATTTGACACCAGATTTCTGTCTCAGTGTGTTTATAACAGGAATCAGTTTCTTGATGAATCGCTGAAGCAGAAAAACCACCAGGTCTACCTGAACCATAAATTTTGGTCTGGAATGTTTAAAGGAGGACACTGATATGGGAAGACCCTATTTGAGAATGACCTTTGTTCTCTCCATATATTTGCTTTTGGGTTTGAACAGGTCTCAAAGAAGGTAATAAAATTAACTTTTAACAGCCCTACAAGGGGAGGACACACCTTCAAATGCATACATTTAAATTAAGGGAATACACCTCCTTATAAAATGTCTGTTTTTACAGCAGAGAAACGAATTGCTTTGTTGCAGCCGTGAGAGCAATTCCCAAAAATGCATTTTTGTGTCTCTCCTATTGTGTTTTCCTTTCCAACTCCTTGCAGGTAATTGTATGTTTTGTTATGTGTTTGGACTTCTTGATAATCTGGGTGTAATGCTGATGTGACATTCTGTATGCATTGAATTGTCTGGATAAAACTCTAGATATGTCTGAAGTTTGATGTTGAATGGTTGTGCTCTATGTTTTCCGCTGCTCATGCGGAGTCCCTGGATCCGGAAGACTAGAGGAAAATTAACGAGCCAAGTAAATTTATTCCTCTAAGTTCAACGACAGACAGACAGACAGACAGACAGACAGACAGACAGACAGACAGACAGACAGACAGACAGACAGACAGACAGACAGACAGACAGACAGACAGACAGACAGACAGACAGACAGACAGATAGATAGATAGATAGATAGATAGATAGATAGATAGATAGATAGATAGATAGATAGATAGATAGATAGATAGATAGATAGATAGATAGATAGATAGATGAATAGAAACTTTATTAAAACACAAGATTTTGTTAAAAAAAACATTGACACTATTTACCACATCCTCATAAGGATTTGTAGTGACAGACCAACACAAAGTAATTAATTTATAATTGTGAAATCCAGAGAAAATCATACATAGTTTTTAAATGTTTTTAAATAAACAGCTTTTTTTTTAAAACAACAAAAAGCTGCTGTATAAAAGTTTGCGTGATGTTTCTCCAATGCTGTGTAAATATGTCTTGGTACCGAAGGTGGCTTTTCTTCCAGGCCACAGTGTGGAACAGAGTGGAGATGATGAAGAGCGAACTGAGCCCCGCCCCATATACCCAGGCTGACAGCCGCTCCCATTGGTCCTCTGACTCGTAGTGCAACAGTGAGCTGCCCAGCAGGCTGGGGATTATCCACATCTAAACCAATTTAGAACATAAATAACACATTTGATTACAGAGGATAATACACAAATTAGCAGGATAAAACGACAATTGTGCATGCAATAGAGGTATAACTTTTAAACCTAATAACAGTATGGGAGTCGTGCTTTATCATTAAGATCTTACATATCACTTTATATGTGGTGTGTTGTGTGTGTGTGTGTGTGTGTGTGTGTGTGCGTGCGTGCGTGCGTGCGTGCGTGCGTGCGTGCGCGCGTGCGTGTCTGTGCATACTGACCGCATGCGTGGCACAGTTGGCAGCATGCTCATAGTCTGTGGGCTGATATCGCTTGTTAGCAGGAACACGGTTGTTCATAAACCTGTCAATGATCACATATCAACAAATTTAAACCAGTTTTATTCAAATGAAACATTGTATATCTTGTTTAAACTAAAATGTAAGTAATTTGCTTCATTTAAAAGAAAGAAATAAAAACAAGTAAGCAAGAATATTTTGATTAATGGATATCATGAATCACAAGTTTCAGATGTCCAAAAATGAATAAAAGACAAAGTAAACAAGTCGAAATAAAAGTAATAATAGAAGTTAAATGCAATTAAATAAACATCAAATAAAATTATAGACTACCCAAAGATAGGCACAAATAGATGAGACTTACAATGAGATATTAGGATCACCAAAATTATTTATTTGTGCTAAAAACCAAAATGATCAGAGAATATCTGAAACTCAAGATTACATTAGCATCTGGAACAACTGCTTGTATTACTTGGACTACATGCTTTGGTATCCCTCTGCAAGTTAATGATTGATTTAGATCATGAAAATACCTGGCTTCCACTGCAGAAGCTCTGACTTTAGATGAGAAATTGTCAGTAAATCATGAACATAAACTAATTCATGTTTAATATGTGCGAGCTGAAGGTTGACCTGCTTCTTATGAATGCTCAACCTGTAAAATGCTGCATGTATCTCATAGCTGTCCATAAGTCCCCACCTCCACTCTTTCCTTTTGCTTAGCAACGCTACATCATGCTTCAGCTTGTTGTCAAGGCTGCAGTTGCATGGCAACAATGGGTATCCATGGTCCCATCTGGACCAGACGTTTGACCCTATGATTCCTTTTATAAATTGTTCACATGGAGACGTTTCTGCATGTCCACACGTCCACTGCAGACACACACACATTAACACTCATAGATGTCTCTGAACACAACTGCAAAGAAGAAAGAGGTAACCTTCAGTGATGTCACTGTTGTCATGGTAACTGCAGAGCAGGGATTGTCTATTTTTTTAACAACAGAGGACTCTTCGTTTATTTCTTCTCCCTCACCAGTTTGTCTTGTCTTGACTTTCTTCCTGTGATTAAATAACATGCAGAACCTAATGCACAGAAATCCAAATCACGCAAACACACACATGCACACGCACACACCCACACACCTATGCTCTTATGTTGCATCTTCCAGAAGCAGATTTTATAAGAGACCTAGATTTGTCATTTTCTCACACACCCACCTTGTGTTTTGGAGTGGTGAGATCCAAAACACAAGCTGCTGTCAAAAGGACAACCTCACCTTTAGATTGTTTGTCTGGAAAAACTTCAGTTAAAAAAGAGTCTAGAGTTAAAGGTCTCACAGGAGTTTTCTTTAAAAAGAACACAAAACATTATCTTTATTTAGTATATTTGTAACCATATTTGTTGCATACTTCTGCCCAGCTCCCTCTTGAAAATGAGATCCAGATCTCAACGGGGTGTACCTGGTCAAATAAAGGAAATAAAATAAATAAGTAAATTTAAAAAAAAATATTTCAGGGAAGGAGCATCTCTTCTGACAATTTCCCAAAAAGACATGTTTAAGAGATGTCTATTTTAAGACACTTTGGACACAGCACCTAGATTGAGCTTTCTGTCCTGAGGCTTGCGTTGTTTTCCTTTAACCGATTGATCATTTTAAATTTTCCTCTATAATTTGGAGACCCTGAAACAAACAAACAATGTGATGAAAACAGGTAAACCTTTGGAGAAGTCCAGGGTATAGAGTCCTTTGTGTATAGGGCTCTATACACATAGAGCCATTGTGTATAGAGCACAATGGCTTTATACATTGTGCTCTGTACACAATGTATAGAGCCACAATGTGCTCTATGCACAAAAGGCAAAATTATTTACTTTACCCTGTCCCTTTGTGAAGGAAAGTATTTTTTAGCAAAAAAATACTTTCTCAAAAAAAAAAAGAAAAGAAGAAAAAACACCCAAAATCAGCATTTAAAATAGAATCAGAAAGAAAATTTGCATCACCCCTTCATCTGTTAACCATGTAGGTGAGCCCACTTGACAGGAGCAGTATCAGTCTACCTGTTCTTCAGCAAGGCCATTTTTAAATTATTCGAACAATAACTGTACCAATGAAAATCTACTAAAATAAATAGGTACAGTGTTGAAGTCGAAATTACTAAATGTTTTTCTACTATATAGGTGCACTCAATAATTTAGAGTATTAAAACTAAAAATGTTTTGTTCATTCAAAAATGTTAGCAAACTTAGTCAAAACTCCCTTTTGCTTAACTAACTGCATCTATAGACTTAGACTACTATCAGTCATTCACCCATTTATACACTGATGTTTGTAAGATACACTGTAGCCACAGCTGCTCTGGACCAACAGAGGTGAGGTTGCCATTGAGTTGGCAACAGGTCATCTGACCACCACCAGCAGGTGAAGTCTCTTGTCCAAGGACAAAACAGCAAAGTGACCCAGATTGAGGAAACAGGGTTCCAAACCTGGCAACCCACCAGATGAACCCCTACTACCCAAATTGCTGTCACCCCAAAATATGCTAAATATAAAGTTTCATGTCTGCTTTAAATTTACACTATGTACATGTTTGGACTGTTGTACAGTAGTGTGATGCAAAGTGGAAGTGCTTTCTCATACAATGGAGGCTTAAACTGCTTGGAGACAGACAACTGCAGGATGGAAACAGAAGTGAAACATTTACCTTGTACCACAAAAATGTACAAGAGGTGAATCATCCCATCTTTTCTGTTTTCCTTCTATTGGGCTCTCTTTTGTTGAGCTGCTGTTTTTAGCGTGACACTCATTCAGAGATATTATTAATAACTGACCCAGCCCGGAAACTCTCAGTCCTGTCCCAAATAAAGAGATTCCTCTATCCAGAGGGCACCTCTCTCTTTACTGTCAGTCTGTATTCTGTTCCTGTTCTCAGCCCAGTAGGCCTGGCTGGGTTATAGAAACTTTATTACATTTGCTGACAATTAACAGACCTGTTTTTAGCGTGACTACAAGGTATGAGCCAGGCATAAAGACTCAGTGGAGTGGATAGAGAGGAACAGCAGGAAAAAGCTGATCAAAAACAACCGGATTCAAATGTTTATTAAACTGAAAAATATTCATTAGATGTAAAATGCATAAAATATTTGGCCAAGCACATTACTACCTTTGTTGACTGTCTCTTACAAAACAAATTTAGTAAAAGATTCACAAAGATGATTTATAAGAATCTAAAGTTATCTTTTTCTGTATCTTTTTTAATGTTTAACTTACGTTATTCTGTTTTGTTGTGTCTGTTTCTCAGGTTTTGTCTCAGGCTCCCGCCTGCTGAGGCTGACGAGCAATTAGTCTATCTGGTTCTGGTGGAAGTTTCTTTCTGCTAAGGGGGAGTTATTTCTCTCCACTTCAACATATGCTTGCTCAGGATATAGAAACTCATCAGAGATAACATAGTTATCTTTTTAATTGATTGTATTGTAATTTATTGAGATGTGTCTGTGTCTGGGTTTTTAAAGAGAAAAGAAGATATTGATCGGTAAAGCTTTGTGAATGGATATTTACAGATTGAAAATATTAATTTGTTATTAGAAAATGTTACCAGGAGTGCTGACAATAATAAACCTGATGTTTGTCTTAATTTTGTGTCAAACAATAAATAAAATGTAGAACATTGTGGAACAGTGCTGTGTAATACATCAATTGCCCTCTTACATATTTCTTCTGTTTTAGCTGCTTTTTTCTGATCTTCATTTTTTAAATTAAATACAAAATGCAAATTTTGAATAATTTTGTTTTTATAAAAGCTATCCTGATCCCATGTGAAAAACTAAATTGTCCTTAAACCTAATAAATGGTTAATTCACCCCTGGTGTCAACAGCCTGTCAAGGTCATATAAGTCAGAGGTGGACTTTCTGGTGTATTTTGGATTATTGTCCTGCAGTATGATCTGAGTAGTTGAGTTAAAAGGTTTACCTTACAAGTCTCTGCGTTGTTTGAAAACGCAGAGACTTGGACAGACTCACATTCAGCTGTTTCGTATCATCAGCCAAAGAGGCAGCACAAATTAGATGACATTGTTAACTTCCACCACCTTTGAGAATGTATTTAATTTTCACACAAATTGAGATAACATATTTCTATGGGATTAAAGGAACGATTACAAACTGATTTTATTCCTTTTCAGAATTTTCAGGGCAAATCAGCCCTGGGGCTGATTTGGACCAAAACTCTGGACCAAAACTCTTCTACCACTATACTTGATGTTCTTTTCCTGAAGTGTTTTATTACTTCACACCAGAGGTAACATATGCACACATTCCAAAGCGTTTTACATTTGTCTCCTTTGTCCACACTGAATTTTACCAGTCTTGGGGGTTTTCAAGGTTTTATTTGATAATTTGTGTTTTGTTTTTTTCTTTTACTTGGGGGTGAGGGAGCTTCTCTCATGCATGTGAGTTTTACCAAGTCTCCTTATTGTTGGTGCAGCTTTGGAGTAGTTTTAGTGGGCTGGCAACTCCTAAGAAAGTTCACCTCTTATTCATGTTTTCTCCAAATCCAAAAGAAATGGCTTTATAAGTCATTATAAAGCCATGTCATTTCTCATCTGTTCTTTGCTTTCTTTAGATTGAGGCATGATGTATTGCCTTTTGTGACGTTTTACTTCAGAAGATTGAAGTTTTTAATGTCTGTCCTTTTATCTGGCTGATTTGGATAGCTTTTATTCCATCCATCCAACCATTTTCAAACACATTTATCCCTACTGGGGTTATGCTATGCGGGGTGCTGGGGCCTGTCTCCGGTGGTCAATGGCCGAGAGGCAAGTTACATCCTGGACAGGTCATCAGTCCATCACAGGACAGCTTTAATTCCTTCATATATTAACAAATAACTTCAAATCTGTGTTTTGCGTTTACTCTGTTGTTTTTTGTTTTTTAAATTAGTTTGATTATCTGAAACATGCAGATCTGACAACAAACCAGAACCTTAAACTGTAAGAGGAAAATACTTTCTCACAGAACTACATGGTGAGTGAAGTGCGTAAATACATCTGGTTTCATAGAGAATGGTTCTGAGATAAAATATTGAGTTGTTTGCTCATGCCAACATCCTCCTCATTATCACCAACAGAAAACAATTAGCTGTATATAAGCAATACTCAAGCATTTGTTTAAATAAAATTGAATTCATTTTGCCAGTAGGTTATAATGATACGCAAAGCTTCCTACCTACCTTACAAGATTCATTTACAGTGAAAATAAGCAACAGTTGACGGCAGACAGTAGGATTAAAAGCCTGTCTCCCCGCTGAATATCGGTCGATAGAAAAACTGCTGCTGATGTGATGCAATCTCTTCAGCTGAGATTGCAAAAGCGAGATTTAAGGCAACGCAACCAGCCGCCGCGTTTCACTGGCACCGTCCTCTCGTCATCTCAGACAGACGCATCCCGACCCGCAGCTGCCTGTAACAGGGTCTGCTCCTTAAGTGTGGGCGGCGGGAAGCGGCTGGACGAGACCCGCTCGTCCGTGGTATTTCTGCTGCTGCTGCTGAGCCTCTAATGTGTCTGCAAACCACCGCTTCAGATCGTCATCACGACTCAATGAGGAAGGCTGTTTTTTTTTTTTTTTTTTTTTTTTAAATATATATCTCAAGGCTGCCACATCATTTTCAGTGGCTCTGATTCATAGCTGAGGAAATTTTGAATGCAGTTTCTGGTCGCGCCACTAGATGGATGTGCAGGCAGCGGGATTAGATTTTTGTCAAATTCAAAATAATGTTAATACGATTTTCATACATTTGTACAATGTATAATTAATGTAAAACTTACGTGTTTGTTGAATGAACAGTTTTTTTCAGTTTTAATAGATAGCTATACACACAGTAGTGCATAACTGTGAAGAGAAAGCGTTTCCAAAATTTAAGTGTGGCATTTACTTTTTCAGTGATAGCCCTGTATAAAATCCAGTGCAACAAGCTACCTTCTGATTCAGAAGTCATCGAATCAGTAAATATAGAGTTATGTTTAATTTAAGTCTAATATAAAACATGCTTGGAGTCTGCAAATTTTCCTCATCAAATCCTCTGTTCGAAACAGGTTCTCCAACTTCATTCAACTTAGATGTAACTTGTCCAACATGGAACTTACCTCTTATCCAATGACTGCCGGAAATGCACAACATGCTCTCCAGGACCCAAATTTCAGCAACAAGGCCTTTCAAAGTGATTTACATAATTAAAACGCAAAAATAAAAAGTTAAAAATAAATGATAAAGTGACCAATTTAAGAAATCAGCTTTTGTTATCATCTGCTGTTTCTGTTCAGCAGATGAAAGTTGTGACACATCCCCACAATTATCTGTTTTAAAGATCTGTCCAGTGCTTGGGTGGGTTCAGAGTCACCTAGTGACATCGTAATATTGAGATGTCTAACATCTGTGTAGTTTTTGATAGCTAATCATATTTTCAGTCCAGCTGTTTTGCCAAGTGAGTACACTAAAAAAGATTGTGCTTTTAAAGATAATATGGAAATGATCAGACAGAGCAACATCAGACCTTTTAAGTATTCACACCCTTACTGATAATTGAATCCAGAATGTGTCCTTGATTGTGGTTTAGCTGTGTAACATGTTTAGCGAAACTACTTGAGGCAGTCAATCATGATCATCAATGAGAAGTTAGTTTGCAAAAGATATTCAAGAATTTTTAATAATGTATGGAAAAAGATTCAGCTTAATCTCCATATGTTTTTGACCTGCTATATATATGAAGAGTGGATAAGTAAAAAGCTATCAAAAGTCAAATTTGAGCATCAAATAATTGCAGCCCTTACAATTCACAAAGTTTCATTTTATCAAGCAAGCCTTCAACACATGAAAACTAGACCAAGATACTTATTTCATTTAATTTCTAATAATATCTGAAATACAGAACGCAATTGAAACCATAACTTCAAACTTATATGGTGGATGAAATATAAATGAAAACATGTAAATGTTCATTCACAGAGACACACACCTGTTTTGACCCACTTCCACAACAATCATTTATTAAACATATGTTATGTCCAGCATAAGCTTTTAATATAAGCAGTGAAACCACTCTCTGTGGTTAAAACATGTAAAAGCTGCTTTAAGCATTCAGCTCACTTTGTGCTCTTTTAAAAACTCATTGAGTACCATTTGCAGACTTGAGGTCAGCCCCTCCTACAGAGCAACAAATCAAATGAGTCAGGATAATGCCTTGGGGAGACTACATGCACTGTTGGAACAGAACTGATGGTTTTGCTTTGTGTATAAAGAAATACTTGAATAAAATACAGGTAAACAGCTTTTTGTAATATAGAAGCAGATTCCTTCATGTCTTTAGGAACATTGGTGTACAGCTCAGCTCACACGATCTTCAAATTCTTCATAGCAGACTCCAGGCTCTGAAAAGTTATGATGCAAATGTGTCAGATAATCAGAAATTAAATCTGACATTTGGGTGAGGCTTGAATGTGTGTTACCTTGACATCCCAGATGCCCATTCCTCCATCCATGCCAGTGGTACAGAATTTGGTGCACTGGTTTCTTCCTCCCTCCAGCACTGAGATTTGGCTGAAATGGAGATTTAGAAAAAGAGTTTTTAAACAGCTGAACATTTAGGAGATTTACAGATAATTGCACTGGAGCCTCTTTAGAGCCAATCACTTTGTGAATAAAACATTGAGAATGAGAAGAATGAAGGTGCAAAATGTGATTTAATTAGAAACTCTGTGTTTTACTTTAGCACAATTGTTTCTTGTTTCCCTATCACAAGTGACCTTTGCTTATTAAGCCCCCTCCAAGTTTTCCCTCCTCTCAGAATCTGAATACTTTTGTCTTCCGACCTGATACTGTTCTTGTGAAGCGTGTTCAGGTCCTTGTCAGTGCTCTGAGTCTCAGAGGCTCGACGGTCCAGGTTCTTAAAGCGTTCCCTGGCACTGATGTCCTTCGAAGCTGCCTGCTTGGGAACATCCAACTTGCCACCAAATGTCAAGCTTGCATTCGCACCATCATATACATACAGTATTGGGTAACAGTCATGACCCTGAAGAAACAAAAGAATGAGAAAATATTATTTATTGGTTGTTTTAAGTAAACAGAAGATGAAGAACTGCAGATACAAGTAAAATTCTAATAGGGACTTTAGTTATTCAAACAACTTCAAATATTTTGAAGCTGGTGGTTGTAACATGACAAAGTACGGAAAAGTTGAAGACATACGAATACTTTTTTGAGCTGTTGTAACCCAATTTAAATTGAGATCATGAACTGTGCTTAAAACAAATGCCAGGTATATGTTGTGGTGAATACTCACAGCAGCAACTAAGCTGTTCTCAGTGATGAAGGTAACACACAGGAGAGGAAGAGTTTCCGAGCTCAGGCTGCTCACCCTATGAAAGTTACGAGAAAAAGTTAAAAGTCTAACACTAAAACAAGTGCTAGCTCCCCAAGTATACTATCCCACCATCTCTTACGTGCCCGTCTTTCCTCCCTCAGCTACTGACACTGTGGAGTCATGGGATGTCCAGGCCAAATGGTTGCCAGAATGCGAAAAACACACGCTGTGCACCCAACCACCACCTCCACCTGATGATGGCGCAGCACATCCAGAACCTCCAGATTCAAACAGCACCTCCCCAAATGGCATCTTGCTGCCCCAAGGAGTGGGGCCAGGCTTCTCCTCCACCTCCTTTATGTAGGCTGAGAATACCCTGCAGAAGACAAGTTCAATTGCACCCATCAACTCCTACAGTGCCCTCCACATTTGATGGCATTCCTGGTGAAGGTGTGTAACAGTATCTACTATTACAGTATCATAAACTGCAAATGAATCATTGATTTTTTATTCTAAAAGACTCAACCGTTAATTTGAATATTTTTTGCAGCTAACTTGTATGTCTATACGATGTTATGTGCTTTGTGTTGTGCTCAGACAGTCATCATGTGAGCACAAAGAGAAGCTGCCTGAAACACTAGTCGTTAAATTTGTGACTAGGAAAGGCTCAGCTTCCTGAACATTATTGGTGAAATAAGTGGGATGAAGTCACGATAATGCAGATCATATAATATTGATGAGATGCAGCATATTTTAGAGCACTTCAAAGCTAATGAATAAAAAACTTTCATATGGATCTTATTTTATCATGTATAGATCTAAGGATTGGGTCTGAGTACCTGAGCATGAATAAACTTAAGCAACTCTGATTGAGACATCCCTGTTAGCTATATTTAAATATAATTTACCATAGCTCATTTTACATTTGGCTTGTAGAATCATGAGAAAAGCTAGCAATACCTGCATTTGAAGTCACAGGATCCAGCAGCCAGCAGCACGTTATTAGGATGCCAGTCCAGACTCAGAATAGTAGAACGGATCGGCTTCTTGATGTGCTTGCACACCCACCTAATGTAAAGACTTAGTCTTATATTATGCTGACTTGTAATTTTCAAATGAATAGAAATTAATTCCATTCAACCTCACCAGTCATTTTCCTGCTCAAAGTAGCAGATTGAAATGAGTCTTGAACCACTGCCGACGGCAAACTTGTTCTCCTTTGGTGACCACTTCACACAGCGAGCAGCCCGGTTGATCCTCAAGATAACCAAGGTGGGCTTCCATGATCCCTCTTTCAGGGTCCACACGTAAGCGTTACGGTCAGCACCACAAGTGACGATGCGGTTACTGTCTGGAGCCCAGTCAATACCTTGAAGGAAAAGAAACTGTTCACATTCTGCACTTAGATGCAGTTCTAATCAGAAGTTAATCAGCACAAATATATTCATTCTGGGATGGTAAGGATGTAATTGAACCTTACCGCCAGGTTTAAATTTGAATTTAAAATGTAGAATTTAGAATTTTTACTGACCACACACCAGCACACTCAAATATATACATACTCTCCGCCAATAATTTGTTAGTGTTATTTTTAGTCAGATATTCAATGTCAATATGTTAAAGACATCTTTAAAAGATGATGATGATGATGATGATGATGATGATGATGATGATGATGATGATGATGATGATGATGATGATGATGATGAGTGGAGGTGATGTGAAAGATTTAGTTTAGTTTAGAACACAGATGGTCTCACCTGTTACCTGTCCATTGTGTTCTTTCAGCTCATGGATTTTGGTCCACTTGGTTCCATCTTTCTTGTAGATGTGAACTTCATGGTTATTGGGGCACAGGGCAATCTCTAGAACACAAAACAAAGTATTTAAATGAGCTATGACAATATATACTCACTGACCATTCTATTAGGTATATTTGTTTACTTCTGTGCTAACATAACTAGATAACTGGTTAATTCATTATTATAAACCCACTTAAACTATCCCTTTTTGCTAGTTTAAGCAGGTGTCAAGGGGGGCATAAAAATTACTTACTGAAGTTTAAACTTAACATTAAAATTGAAAAAAAAAAATATGGTTGAAGTGTCTTTGAAAGTGGCCCAGTCGTCACTAGATGGTCTTGTCCGAGTATTTAAAAATCTGGTGATAAACTGTTGGTTGTTTGGTTTTATAAACAACTATCTCCCAGACAACAAAAAATATTTAAAAAAATCCACTGAGCGGTTTTTTTTGGGATAAAAATGTCCTGTTAGTGTCAAAGGTCAGAAGAAAAGTTAAATAGCCACTTATTAATACTAAGGTATGAAAAATAATGTAATTGAACAATAAATCATATCCCAATCATCTTTGCAACATCAATTTGTTCTAATGGTAAATGACTGCTTGCAGGCCTTATTTAATAGGCTTCAAAATTGCATCATACATTTATGCCCTGATTTTAATCATTAATTTGTCTCATTGGACAGGCCTTTCTGCATCTGTACCCCATACCTACTATAGATGTACAGACTGATATGCTAATGCTAACAGAATGATTGCAACACATAAGATCAAGGAAAAAGTAGTGAGAAGTGTATCTGTACTTTGAAGCCATCACATCTCTATTCAATGCAGCATCCTGGAGAAGTAGATGGATGTGCAGCCAACAAATGTGCAACTGTGTTATTATGGGAATATCTTATCCACCTTCTCCCAGCAGGAATACCCTTAGGCCTCTTCTCTTTCCAATAAACACCACCTCACTGTGTCAGTTTATCCGATCACATGGCGTTTCATACCACCGCTATACTGACAATACTCAGCTCTATTAATCGTTTTCACCTGCTGATCACATGGCCCCAAGTCTGTCTCCCTGACATATCGGCATGAATGAAAGCCAATTGTCTTCAACTAACACTCTCTAAAACTAGATACTTGTCTTTCCAGGCAAACACACCACATACCAAAATATCAGCATCAAATATAAATTCCTATCACTTGCTCAATCAAAGGTACCAAGAAACCAGTCATCCAAATCAGTGACCAGCTTGATCTTTAAAGATCATGTTGCCTCCATTGATCAGATATGCTCTTTCACATTGTTAAACCTAAGAGAAGTTTGTCTGTATTTAATATAACATGTCGGGTAACTTGTGTAATTCCATGATGGTAAAATGACCTGCTGAGTGCTACTACAACAGCTACCTTGTTTGTCTTCAAGGAACTGTTGATGACCCAGTTTTTCAAATATCCTCTCCTATTCCAGTATCTACCCTGTACATCTCCAAGACCTTTACTGCATGTTTTCCTCTTTCTGCATTCCTCCCTATGTTTTTACTATTTTTACTCAGTCACCTCTGATGGAACCTGGGCTCATCCTTCTAGTAGCTTATCGTTAGCTTTGATATTAACTGCACTGCTATGCAAATATTCATTTGGATAACAGTGTTAGCCAAGATGCATAAACATAAAGAAAGAGAAGAGCAGTGTGATGAGCAGCTGATTGAATGCCTTCAACAGAAAAAACTACAGAAACGCAGTGTGTTTCTTCTGGGAGGAGCCTACACAGCAGCTTGTGAGAACACAGTGTCTTTTCCTTTAAACTTTGGCAAACCCCACATGTTTTAGTTTGCAGATGAGTCAGAAGTGTTTCTCTCAGGAGTATGAGTGCTTTGTGTGCATTTTTCTTCTCTAGATGAATCAGTCCCAGGGTTCATTTTTGCAAGGTGTGTAAAACTAGGTATACACAAGTATGACTCGATCACGGATGTCTGTTACATCCGCTTTTCTCAGAAAGCAAAGCACTGGTCAAAATAGCCAAATAAGGCTTTGGTTTCCTCTAGCTAACGGTACACAAAAGCCTCTCAGAAGTTCTCTGGCGCCACCCTCACTGCCACAGGAAACAGGAAATACCTTCTCCAACCTGGGAACCAATCAGAGGCCTTGGCTGTTAGCACCAAGAGACTTAAGTCAGAGGAAGATGTACCGTTGGGTTTAACCAGTTAAATGATGAGACAGTTTAAGGAATTTTTAAAGCAGTCTTACGGGTCCGATCTTTGTTCCACGCATGGCAGCTAATTGGTTCCAGAAGGAAGCTATGGTATGCCATGGCCAATCAGATGCCAGAATCAGATCAGGAAGTGGGTAGAGGAACCTTGTGAACTGAAAGATTAACAGAAAATGAGAAGTGACAATATACTCACCTAAAAGAGGAAGCAAAGTAGGGGGAGAAAAATGTTTGAATGTCAATAATTAACAGGGATATTTGTAGTCTCCTGTGACAGTCTGGCGACCTGTCCAAGGTGTAGCCCACCTCTCGTCCGGAATGCTACCCGGAGATAGGCACCAGCACCCCTAACGGCCCCGCTAGGGACAAGAGTGTAAAAAATTGATGGATGGATGTATGAATGGATGGATTTGTAGTCTTACACCAGGTGATGATCCAAAATGGAAAAGAAATAAAACTCTAATCCAGCTTTTTACCATGGCATTGGAAATTTAGCTTGATAACCTGTTTTAATGAAATCCAGACTTTCAGAGGAATGTAAAGAACTATACAGGTCAAGAGTATCATACGTCCCTAAAGCAGATCACTCGACTCTGAGTAGAAAACCACTAAAACAGCAAAAAGACAATTTAAAATGCAACCATTTCTTTACAAGCAACAGCAAAAAGATAATGTTACATAATATAATTTCTCTGAGTACACTTATTTTTGTACTATTTGTGCTTTCCTTGCAAAATTGCATGTGAAAGTGTGAGCATGATATATGAACTGGAAAAACAAAAAGAAAATCACGGCTTACTTACCCGGAGAGAAGAATGGTGATAAATAGAGTTGCAGAGATGGGAGAGGTGAAAAAGCTAGAGGGTGCTCAGCTCGCGGACTCTGGCCAGTCAACGCGAACGCCAACGACAGAGTGAGCTCAGGAAGAGCAGAGCAAAGCAGAAGCTGAAGAGAGGGGTGGAGAAGTTCAGAGGGGGAAGTGGAGAAGGGTGCAGTCAAACTCAGACATGCAGGAAGTTTGTTGTTTAGGGTTCTGGGTTCAACAACAGAAAGAAGAGAGCAGGTTTAATGGTAGTAGATTTCTTTTCCTCTTAAAGAATGAAGTTGAAACAACTAGTCTGAAAGCCAAGGCAGGAGAATGAAAACAGTTTAATTTTACACAAAATGGAGGAGGTGCAGAGTGAAATGAAAGGCAATGAAGAAAAGGGGAGGGGCATGTGGGCACTCTACATAAAGAAAGAATTTGAAAAGAAGGAAGACTTCAATATAGAAGAAAAGAAGAAAGCATGGGGTCATTCCAACAAATAAGACAGAAACAGCACACTTTGATCACAATCTTAAATTCATGCAGATGCCCAAAAACTTCCTCTTTCCCACCTGAATGAAGCTGTTTATGTTGTTATTTTATTATTTAAAAATAAAAATACAATTAGAAATATGAGAGATAACATATGTATTAAGGCACATGTTTTCCCCTGTTTCAGCTACATTTCATATTGATTCCAGGGTTAAAATGATAAACTATATAAAAATGTATGTATTTTTATATATAGACATTCATCACTCAGACAAAATCATTTGTTTTATAATCACTAAAACTATCAACAATGAAATAACTTGAAACTGACAAAGAATAACATTAAAAAAACTTTACCAGAAATGCTTTTAAAATGTAGTTCAACAGAATCATTTTAAATAACCAACAAATTAAACAGTTCTGAACAAACGTGATGGTACATTTAGAAAAAAAAGTGAAAATAATTTGACCATAGCGATATGTTAGACGAAGGTGCATCCTCCAATTAACATTGAAGGTGCTTTCATGATCTTTCAGACTGTCAGCTAAAAACAGCAAAGTTTTGGTTCAACACAGGTGCCTGTGTCAACACACAGGCACCAAGATGGGAGACAAAAAGTAGGCCCACTCCTTCTCTGCACATCTCACTATGGTCAACTCAGCAGAGCCTGATCCAAAGACCCCAGGTTCCACTTCCTCAATGGAAAATGTGATGGTGGGATTGAGGAGGCTTTCAAAGTACTCTGCCCAAGTCATTCTCCATGGCCTCTGTGAACTTCTCCTATACCCAAGTTTTTATCTTGTCGACCATCCGAGCTTCTTGCCGTTTGGAATGCCAGTGACCATCAGCTGCTTCCAGGGTCCCAAAGACCCGATATGTCTTTTTGATCTATGGGACCAAAAAGCTCCTCCTTGGGCTGCCACCTTATCGTGGTGGAGGAATTTGAGTGTCCCAATGATCCTAAGACCTATGCTGTATGGGGCTTCATGCCCCTGGTAGGGTCACCTAAGGCAGACAGGTCCTAGCGTTCTCACTAGAACCAGGAAGACAGACCACATAACACCAGTCTTAAAGTCCCCCCACTGGCTCCCTGTAGCTCAATAAATAGATTTTAAAATACTGTTGTTAGTTTATAAATCACTGAACAGTTTAGCACCACAATACATCAAAAATCTGCTGTTGTTGTATCAACCTTCCAGACCTCTCAGGGTCTTCTGGTTCTGGTCTGCTCTGCATCCCCAGAACCAGAACCAAGAGAGGAGAAGCAGCTTTCAGCATCTATGCACCAAAACTTTGGAACAAACTTCCAGACAACTGTAAAACAGCGGAAACCCTGACTTCTTTTATATCGCAATTAAAAACACACCTGTTTAGAATTGTTTTTGAAATGTAATATGTAACAATGTATTGTCTATTATATGTTGCATGACTTTGTGTTCTTGTGTTTATGATGTAAAGCACTTTGAAATGCCTTGCTGAAATGTGCTATACAAATAAAATTTGATTTGATTTGATTTGATTTTAGGTGAGGGACCAGACAAAATGCATCCCGAAGACCCTGATGGTGAAAAAGAAGATTGGATTTTATGTTCGCTCGCCTGGACGCAGGTCACCAGAGCCCCACTCTGGAGCCAGGCCTGGAGGTGGGGCATGTTGGCGAGCGCCTCGTGGCAGGGTTTTTACCCATGGAGCCCGGCCGGGCCTAGCCCGAACAGGAGACATGGGTGCCCCCTCCCATAGGCCCACCACCTATGAGAGGGGCTAAAGGGGTCGGGTACAGTGTGTGATGGGTGGTGGCCGAGGGAGGGGGTCCTGGCCGTCCGATCCTCGATTGCAGAAGCTGGCTCTTGGGATGTTGTAGGGTTGTGTTGGTTGTCACGACTCTGCAATATTGCATGGACATTCGGGGCAGTACCCCTGGATTGGCAGACTGTGGTTGTGGTCCCCCTGTTTAAAAAGGGAGACCGGAGGGTGTGCTCCAATTATAGAGGGATCACACTCTTAAGCCTCCCTGGCAAGGTCTATTTGGGGGTCCTGGAGAGGAGGGTCGGATTCTGAAAGAGCAGTGTGGTTTTCGTCCTGGTCGTGGAACACAGGACTAGCTCTACACCCTCAGCAGGGTCCTGGAGGGTGCATGGGAGTTCGCCCAACCGGTCTACATTTGTTTGTCCCTCTGGGAGCCTTGTGAGGGGTTCTTCGGGAGTATGGGGTACCGGGCCCTTTGATACAGGCTGTCAAGTACCTGTATGACCGGTGTCAGAGTCTGGTCCGCATTGCCCGCAATGAGTCGGGCTAGCTTCCGGTGAGGGTTGGACTCCGCCAGGGCTTCCCTTTGTCACCGATTCTGTTCATTACTTTTATGGACAGAATTTCTAGTTGCAGCCAAGGTGTTGAGGGGATCCGTTTTGGTGACCTTAGGATTGCATTTCTGCTTTTTGCAGAAAATGTGGTCCTACTGGCTTCATCGGGACATGATCTGCAGCTCTCGCTGGAGTGGTTTGCAGCCGAGTATGAAGAGGCCGAGATGAGGATCAGCCCCACCAAGTCAGAGGCCATGGTCTTGAGCCACAAAAGGGTAGAGTGCCTTTTCCAGGTCGAGGGGGATGTCCTGCCCCAAGTGGTTCAAGTATCTTGGGATCTTGTTCACCATTGAGGGAAGAAGGGAGGGGGAGATCGACAGGCGGGATTGGCGCAACGTCTGCCGTGAAGCTGGCGCTGTACCGGTCCGGGAGCTGAGTCAAAAAGCTAAGCTCTCAATTTACCAGTCGATCTACGTTCCTACCCTCATCTATGGTCATGAGCTTTGGGTCATGACCGTAAGAACGAGATGTCGGATACAAGCGGCCAAAATGGGTTTCCTTTGTAGGGTGGCTGGGCTCTCCCCTAGAGATAGGGTGAGAAGATCGGTCGTCCGGGAGAAACTCAGAGTAGAGCCGCTGCTCCTCCACATCAAGAGGAGCCAGTTGAGGTGGCTCGTGCATCTGGTCAGGATGCCTCCTGGACACCTCCCTGGTGAGGTGTTTCGGGCACGTCCCACCAGGAGGAGGCTCGGGGAAGACCTAGGACACGCTGGAGGGACTATGTCTCCCGGCTGGCCTGGGAACGCCTTGGGATTCCCCTGAAGGAGATGGAAGAAGTGGCTGGTGAGAGGGAAGTCTGGGCCTCCCTTCTTAAGCTGCTACCCCTGCGACCCGACCCCAGATAAGCGGCAAACAATGGATGAATGGATGGATGGATGGATGGATGGATGGATGGATGGATGGATGGATGGATGGATGGATGGATGGATGGATGGATGGATGGATGGATGGATGGATGGATGGATGGATGGATGGATAAACCAAAAAGACCCAGATTGGGAGGAACGCTCCCCCCCAAAAAATTAGCTGATTATAGGATTTCCCCGAAAAAAAGGCACTTACAACCTTGAGGCCACATCTCCCACTTCCACCAAAATGTGTCTGAAGCACTATCTTTATAGTTGGTCAGGGGTCACTTGAGCCCAATACTAAATCCGTCCTGTCCTGTGGTCTCGTCATACATGATAGAGATGCACCCTTTGTAGCAAATTTCAGCTACACAGTCCATCTTTGTAAGTGATACCAGGTCATCCTCAACTTTAAACACCAGTTGTCCACATGTCAGATAAGTAAAACAGCTGTTGCCTGTCACCAGCAAATGACTGAGGACAGGAATTTCTGAGACTGGATCAGGAATCACAGGATATTCTAAATTGTCTGGACTGTCTAACCATGGGAATAGCAGGGTCATCACATCAGCATCACTGAAAAAGTATTCTGTCTTTATGTTGGAGTTGCAGGTGTCACAACATTCTGGAATTGCACACATACAACAGTTTACAACAGTAGTAGTAGTAGTGTCCTCTTGTTTTTCCTTTGGTAGGGGAATGACAGGACCAAGGTTATAAATCGCACTTGAAGACTTCTGACATTGTTCACAACAGACAGTTGGGTACAGCTCACACTCTGTGTTAATGATATATTGGGTCAGATAGTATGACACATAAAACAAAAAGCCTCCTGGCTTATCCTGATGTACTACATCCTTCATCTTCAGTGTTTCAATTATTTTATTCTGAACTGCAAAGACTTCATCTGGGGGAAAGTATCTTCCTGGATGGTGCATTGCGATAAATAAAAAACTTGCAAACAATGGCATCTCTGTAAAAAGTTATCATGGTTAACATTATCTCTTTCAAATACTGAGTCACAGAAACCTTCTGGTAATATTCAAGTTCATAATGCTCTGAGTTGTGGCATTCATTTAACAATTGAAGAATGAGTAATAAAAGTATTTTTGATAAGTTTTATAAAGAGAGAAAGTATTTTTTCCAGAAGTTAAAGAACACGAGTCACATTTATAAACTGGCTAGTCTAAGCCATTTGCTTGATCAATTTTGAACTGTGGGTGAGGAGAATCCTTTTAATCTCCTGATACACAAGAGGGTCTTTTTTTGACCCAGTGACATTCATCTTAAAGTTCACAGACAATAGCTTGAGTTTTGTTTCTGTTCAGCTGAAGAACACTATGGCACATCCGTGCCCTGCTTTGTTCTAAGCATTTATTAAGTGCTTGGATGAGTTCAGAAGGGTCTGCTGATATTGTAGAGCTGTTATGCTGATGATACTCAGTTGTATCAACCCTAATGAATCCAATCCATTACATAGACTACAAGCATGTCTTGAGGACATTAAAATCTGGATGACACTAAACTTCCTTCTTTTAGATTCTGAGAA